CCTTTAATAATGTAGAAATTTATGAACTTACAGGACCTTTAAAATCAACATGAAATGCATAAACCCCATTACTTTCATAATGCAACACATTTGTGAGTGAAATCTGAATGTGTAAAAATTGCTAAAGCTTTCAGTCCCAACATAAAATGCTTGCAATCAATTATTACTTCCATAATGTGACTTCTTTCTGAGTGAAAATAAAAATAAATAAAATAGTATTACATTTTAAATACAATTTTTAAATTAGAGTCAGTTACATCCATCAAAAATATATTGTATCATAAAAAAATGGCTGTTAAATACTAAAAAGAGCCAGGAGGGGCGGGGCTAAAACATCAAGAGGGCTCGATGATGTCATCTGAAAAGAAACGTCGTTTCAGCACATTTTACACTAATGAATCATATGCAGCAACCTACATTAAAAAAGTGAACAGGGTCCGTTTTGATTTCATGTGATTCTAAGCTGTAAATAACCAAGTCTATTCCCTTAATTACACACCTGAACTCAAGTACAGCATCAGCACTCTAACAGTAAAGGATCTGGGTGTCTAAGCGTAAGCCGGGGCTCTTTCAGCAGTGCGCAAACTAGCACTTAACCCCAGGACGCTCTGCAGGGACCATCAGTGCAATTAGTGCACTGTAAGTCCCTGCAGATGAAAAGCGTCTGCTCAACGGCGGCTGTAATGAGCATGGGCTTTTCTTCACACTTTGTGTTTGACATTTTTGATGCTCAGTGTACAATTGAGCAGCCTTGAATCGCTGTTTGTGCTGTGCAAACAATAGAAGCTTCCGAGCTGAAATGAGAATGCATAGAGAGCGGCCGTAAGTGCACAGAAAATCCTTTGGATATAACGTTTGTGTTTGTCGGAACATGCCTTATGTTTTCAAACTGAGTCTCCCTGTTGGGGAAAATTGCTTTCTAAGACGTGATTGCATGTACAAAGACACGTGTGAAGTGTTTCCTTTCAATTTGTGTGTGTGCGCGTGTGCTTTTTAAGCTGTAATTGTGTCTGTAGAGTTGTGCTCCATCCCCGGGTGATTTATGGCTCATGCCAGCACAGAGCTAACAAGGGCAATAAATTCCCTCACTTGCTAGTGCTACTGCAAAATGTTTGTGCATTGAGTGTGTGTGTGCGCATTTGCAAACATGCAATCATGTCATGTGGCGTACAACATGCAAACTGCCTTTGAGTCTCTGTTCTGTCCTTATTCTTTCCATCAAATCTATACAGACACACAACATGTGTATGCAAACAGTTGGATTGACTCTTCATTGGAAAAGTGACAGGTGAGTGACACAAAGTGCACGACCTTTGACACTGGTTCCCTGACCTTTGACCCCCGGGTTTGGCCAATTTGTGTGCGAGTATGCGAATGGCTGAAACATTTACTTATATGTGTGTGTGTGTTTATATGAAATGGAGAAACAGTGAAGGAAGAAGTAGAAAGTAGAAAAACAAAGAAGTATGCGCAGATCATGCAACCATAGAAACAGGCTATCAGGAATCCTTTAAATGTAAATGTTTAATGCCGAACCGTCAAGTCTTGCCTTTTACAGTGTGTAATTTCTGCAGCACCAAACAGAATTGGAAAAATAAAAGGAGTGTTTCAAACAGGTTTCAAATCCTCCTTTCATTGTTAAAACAGACAGACAGACAGTCCCATTGGAGATATGCACACTTAAAGTCAGGATTGAAAAATACTACAAGGTAATACAATATTAATTACTTAATGTAAAATAATTATTGTAATATTATTTATAATATTAAATCGCACACCTCATAGAGGTGTATATATATATATATATATATATATATATATATATATATATATATATATATACTGTATATACACTGTATATATAATGACATCAATTATTTAATTATGATATTTATGATTTGTGATTTAAGATGTACAGAATGTGAATATATTTCACAATATTAATTAATAATTTAATATAATTAACTAATATAATACTAATTATATTATTTTGTAATAATATTAATAATATACGAATAATTAAGCTCATGCCTCATATAAGCTGTTCTGCACTGAAAAATGCAAGTTTTTTTATTGAGATGACCTGCTTCATTAATTAAAGCACATTAAATATGACTGCACAAACTAATAAAGAAAATATATGTATGACGATATTAAATATTCAAAACTTTGAGAAAAAATATAAATATAAATTTGTTAGTCATTGTTGGAATGTTCAGTGCTGCTAAGTAAATTAGTTGATTTTTGCCTCAAAATACCTCACGCCTAAGAATCACAACCTAAAATGACACCTGAAAGATCTACAGCTTAAAAAAAAAAAAGCCCAAGACAGGTGTGATATCCTCAAAGACTCAAGTCGACTCCTGACAGACACTGATCCACCTGCTGCCAGGACACAAATCTCACAAAACCACGTTTTTAAACCACTCGTACCACAGTACTGAAGTACAGAGCTGGAGATGCTTTGCTTTGTTGCTGTCAGCGAGTTGTAGCAGGGTTTAAAAAGTAGAAGGTGACTGTTCTGCACCAGTGTGTGTGATTCATGCCCTTTAAAGGCCACAGTGAACCCTCTCGTTCGTCTTAAAAGAAATAGACAGATATTCATGGCTTCCCCTCCTTTTTTCCTGATTCCCTCATTCCAAGGAGAGGTGAAAGACCATGGGAGATCTGAGGGTCATTTTGAAACCTCCAGATCATTGTCAGGCAGCTTGCGGGTGAGTAGACACACAAACACACACACACCATTCTGGCCTCTGAACCCCAAACTCTTTCATCCAGACTAATTTTCTTTTTCCCCTCAGTCTCTCAATTTACACTGTGTTACAAGTCTCGTCGACCTCATCCGGTTGGTACACGGTTTCAACACACTCTTATCCAGTGCTGGGTAAATTACTTACAAATTGTAGTCCATTGCTGATTATAAATTACATGGCGGAAATTGTAGTTAGTAATGTAATCTGTTGGATTACACATATTAGGTAATGTATTCTGGCTACTTTTTGATTACTTTTGACCTAACTCGTAATAAAATATTTTCCATTCTTTGTTATCAACATCATGAAGTGCATTAAGCCCCTGAAACAACTGCAGGGGGTTTGCGAGGTGAAGAAAAGCTAATAATTAATTAAATCATAAGAATGTCAAATTAAACTAATTGTGTGACCTCTCCATTTTCTGTGTTATTATATTCATCTGAGAAGTGGCTGGTGTTCGAAGTTACTGTAAAACTTTGTGAATGTACATAAGTGGTAGGATTTTTTTAGAAAAGAAAATTTAAGAGAGAAAAAAGAATAATTAGGGTGAATCAATACAATCAAATACTGCCATTTTGTAGATAATATGTTATCATGTAATCTATTAAAAGTAACGGTAATCTAATTACAAGCACTTTAAAATGCAAAGTAACCTAATTACCAGTATTCATTTTTGGAATCTGATTACATAATCCAGATTACATGAAATCAGTTACTACCCAGCACTGCTTTTACGAAACTGCTGATAAAAAAAATAATAAAAATTTGGCCGAAACATGGTAGCTGATTTCTTGCTTATCCAAGCTGGACATAAGCTGGTGCTAGGCGGTAGACCATCTTGGACCAGAAACATACCAGGTCAAGGTGGTCAAGATGGCTTTTAGATCATGGTGGCTGATAAACCAGCTTGCACAAGCTTATAACCTTCTTGGATCTACTAGAAATAAGCTTCCAAAACATAGCTACCAGCTTAAAGCTGTATTTCCCAACAGGAACACTTCTTTTATGCCACATAGCCTACTTCTTTTTCACAGTTTATTGTACCTCTGCCACCTTACAGGCTGACGGATATCACATACACACACACTTTCACACATACTTCATCTTGCCTTGTGGATTTCTTGGTCTTATGGACTTAAAAAATGTGAGTGGTGTTTGCCTTAGTAAAAATAGCATAGGTGTTGTGGTTTAATGCCAGAATGTTGCTATGTGGTTGATTGGTTTTTAACGTGTTGCTATGCGGTTGACAGATGACATACTGAAGTTAAACACTTACAGTCAAGAATTTGATCAAATCCCTATCCCTAAGTATGAGTAATAATAATAGTGATGCTTGCCTTCAGAAGCAATACTAATAAAAAACCCAGATACTATCGGTTTCACTGAAAGAAAACTCACTGTCAAGGGGAACGAGAAAATGACAGAGTGAGAGAAAAGGGGGAGAGAAAAAAATTGAGGGTTAAAGCTAAGTGTGTGGGTCAGACAGAATGACATGACAACTGCAATAAATGTATAGAGCTTTGTGTGGTAATTCAGTCCACCCAACAGAGGCTTAATACATAAATCAACCTCACACAAACACACAAACACACACACACACACACACTTTTCGGCACGTACACACATATTTCTTTACAGAGAAATCATTATTCGTAGACACACACATACACATATATACCCACTTTGTCCAACAAAACTGGACAAAAACAAATTATCCCATCAAAACAGTGCATGTGAATTGAATGCAGTACATGAAACAATAACCATAACACTATCAAAATTTCAATCGCACTTCAATCGTTCCCCTCCATCTCAACTGTCAAAACTCGACCTAAATAAAATGTAGGCCAATGCAGTGTTTAACTGGCCTGAGGTGATAAACCACTGAAGCCTATTCACTCTTCATTTATGTGTCCCATTAAGTCAATGTGAGTGGCATATGAGTTTTTTCCTTTCCGTATTAAAGGCTCTATCTACAGCATATTAGCTGTATTCAATACCTAGTGATTATGAAAGCAAAGTAAGCTACTTAAAACACCGCAATAAGGTGACTCAGAGAAACCCTTGTGAGAAAAAAATGAACATTTGTTACCTTACCATATTAGCTCTTTACCTCACACTGAATAAAAGACTGCACAAAACTGTACAAGGAAGCCACAACATATTCAACAAAATTTCAAGCACTTTTCAAGACATCACTGAGCTTTAAAAAAAAAAATCAATATGAAAAACATGATCAACACATACCTGTTTCTTCATCAATGGTGAATCTCCCAAGACCACTGCCGTCACGTATGGAGTACTGCACCTCGCCGTCCCTTCCCGTGTCATCATCCCTTGCAGAGACCTGGAGCACAGAAGTCCCGATTCGAACGCTTTCCTTTACTGATCCGTTCATGGCGAAGTTCGAGAAATATGGTGAGTACAGGTTCTCGTTAACATCCACCACCTCCAGTTCAACAAAGCTAACTGACAGGAGAGACACCGGTCGGCCTTTGTCTTTTGCTCGAACTGTTAGATTGAAGAATTGTTGAGTTTCGTAATCCAGCTCCTTGGTAAGACGAATGGCACCGCTAGTCTTGTCGACCTCAAAACGGCCATCGTAGTCGTTAGCGAGTGAGTATCGCACCTGCCCTCCAAGTCCCAGGTCAGGGTCTTGCGTATCCAGCCAGGCAATGACAGTGCCCACTGGGAGGTCTTCTAGTGCACGGGCGCTAACAACACTTGGGATAAAGGCTGGTGGACAATCATTAACATCCTCAAGATAGATTTTAAGAGTTGTTACTGAAAATTGCTGAGCCACTCGCTCTGCTCGATCTCGCGCTTCCACTTTTAATATGAAGAACGGAACAAACTCACGGTCCAGCTGACCTGCAACATATACAATCCCACTGGAGCTGTTGATGCCAAACTGTGATGTGCTGGTGAGTAGGGAATACTGGATCTCGCCATTGAGACCTTGATCTTTGTCAGTAGCTTCCACTTGGATGACTTCGGTACCAACAGGGGTGTTTTCGGGAATGTGGGCCTGGTAGCCGTCTTGAAGAAACTGAGGTGCATTGTCATTTGCATCTGCTATGTAAACTGTAAGAAGCCTCCAGGAGGATCTTTGCGGTTGGCCTAAATCATACAGTGTGATGTTTAGAAGATAGCGATCTGTCCTCTCACGGTCTAGAGGAAGGAAGATGCTTATCACGCCATTCAGAATTCCAATACTGAAACAACTGTCTGTATTGCCATCAGCAATGACGTATAAGAGTTGTCCATTGAACCCAGTGTCTCCATCAAAGGATTTTACCTGAAACACACTCGTGCCAACTTGTACATCCTCACGCACAGTGATGTCAGTTGGGAAGGATTTGTCAAATTGAGGCGTTTGTCGGTTCACAGAGAACAGGTCGATAAAGCCCTCCTCCATTTTGGGTTTACTGCTAGCTTTGGCTTTCTTCAGAAGTTTCTCAGCTAGTCGTTGGGCTACTCTGGTTTCGGTACAACTAAAGCTCTTGGGCGGTGACTTCCCTTGCACTACAGATATGTTCACAAACATGAGATCGGAAAAGTGTTCCCCATCTGTAGCAGTAATTTTTAGACTGAATGAGTTTTTGGGTGCTGCAGTGTTTAGGGAGTGATGTAAGGTCATGACACCAGAATCGGGATTTAAGTCAAAGTACCCTCGCTCATTCCCTGAGAGGATCTTGTATTTGACTAGCTCTAGCTCATCAATGTCTATGGCTGACATTGTGGTGATAACCTCACCTACCGGAAGGTCTCGAGAGATTACACCAACACAGGCCACTTTCTCAAATAGGGGTTTGTTATCGTTAACATTCTCTAGGTGCACAGTGACATTGACTTCACTCTCACGCCTATAAGGGGAACCCCAGTCAGAAGCACGAACCACAAAACTAAAACTCTCTACAGATGATTCAAAGTCTAGCTCCTGTGTTGTCGTGACTGCTCCAGTGAACTGCTGCACGCTAAAATGTAATGGTGTCAAGCTAGCCATGCTATATGTGATGTACCCGTTTTCCCCATGGTCACCATCAGAAGCAGTCACCACAACAACAGTGGTGCCTACCGCAACACTTTCATTGACAAATACCTCATAAGACTGCTGAGCAAATGACGGTGCATTATCATTGGCATCCTCAAGAATGACTCTAACCTTGACCCTAAGGTCACTGTCTACTTCTAAGACCTCTAGCTCAAATACTTCCTGTGTGAGTTGGGTGAGCCAACGTGCCGTGCTGATGACGCCAGTCATGGTGTTGATACTGAAGAACCCCGAATCAGTAGATGGGGTCAGGATGTACTCAGCATCATCTGGCTCTGGCTGGAGTTTCACAGCCTCCACAACAGTCCCAGGAGGGGCAACTTCACTCAACAGGACTTCGTATTCGTCCTTCTGAAATATGACTTCCACCGGGGCTGGTCGTGACAGTCGTAAGTGCACCGTGTGCACAGCAGAAAACTTCTGAGGTGTTCCACGATCCCGAGCCTGCAAGCTGAGGTTTAATCCAAACGGATAACTGTCCCAGTCGAACTGCTCTGTTGCACGAAGGACAAACTCTCTAGATCCTTTCTGAGTGACTTCCTCATCCACCAATTCTTCACTTGGCATCTCTGTCCTTTCGATGCTGAAGAGCTCAAGAAGGTCCCCAGCCACAATGCTCACTGTTTCAATTTCTCCATTCGCCCCTTCATCAAGATCCTCTACGGTGACCACAGCTACGACTGGGGACTTCTCAGTCCATACAGGTGCTAATGTAACAATACTCAGAATGGGCACATGCTCGTTAATCCGTTCTACATGAACAAAAAGTTTAGCTGTACTGCTTACTCCATTATTCCCATAGAGCTTCATTCCCCGGTCCACAGCCTGGATCTCAAGATCATAGCGGCTTTGAGTGTCAACATCCAGCTTCCCACTGAGAGAAACAACTCCACTAGTCGGGTGTACAGTAAACAGCTCCATTCGCTCCTTGAAAAAGTAATAGAACTCTCCATTTGATCCTATGTCGGCATCCGTGGCAGTGACCTGAGCTATGCTGGTGCGTAGGGGTGTGCTTTCCGCAGTGGTAACTGAATATGTGGTAGGGGAGAAAAGGGGTCGAAGGTCATTCATATCCAACACCTGCACACTAACTTTAGTCCAGGCCTCTAATGTATCCCCCTTAATAGAAGCTTTCACTGTCAACAAGTAGTTGTCCTGAACTTCACGGTTCAAGATGGCAGCATTACCCCCTTTGGTTCTTATCCGCAGGAAGCAGAAATCACCCAGAGTGTGCTCCTCGGCCTTGAAGAATCCTTCTTCGTCCCCGGAGGTGATGCGGTACCTCACCTCCCACGAGTGATGTTGGAGAGGGATGCCCATGCGCACCTGGCTGGCAGCGTAGGTGCGGGCGGCCGAGTTCTCGTAGACCGACGCATGGTACAGTGGTTGAGTAAACTGTAGGCGGGATCTTTCACCTTGGCAGTGGCCTGGAGGTGGAGAGAAGAACAGCAAGAGGGCCAATTGTAGGATAATGGCCCATATGCCTGCCCAAAAGGCCATGCTCACTGCCATCCCATCACCAAACCCATCCTGGAGACAGAGAGAGAAAAAAAAACAGAGAAAGATGTTAGGAAGAGCAGATGACATGACAGTACACAACCTGACCTTTCACATCTAAAGCTCATAGGTCACTAGGGATCAGTCAAAAAGATCAAGCACAAGCAGAGGAAGTTGTGTTCTGAAGAAGGGCTGGTAGCCAGGCAACCGCAAGCCAAATGACATCACTACCCAGGTCTCAAAATGGACATTGACACACAATTATATACTAGGGAAAAACCAGGAGGATGCAATTCAGGAAAATTCACTTACACACACATACTACACACAAGAAAAAACAGCAGGAGAATGCAAGTCAGGAACAAAATAATTATAGAGAACGAAAGATCAAAAATACAACCCGTGAAAATGAAGACACACACACACACACACACACACACACACACAAACACACGTTTTTATGGTTTTAAAAAAGCTCTTGAGAAAGGACAAAATGCTGTGGATTCAGCAATATACTGGTTATGATTAAAGTGCTGCTGGAGAGGAAGTCTGTGAGTGTGGATTTACTTAGCTATACTTGGGGAACAAAATTGTCCCTAGAAGTTAGCTGAATTCGACAAAGCCTTTGGGGACCTAAATTGGAAAAATGACTCATAAATCCAATAAATATATATATTTTTTTTAAATTCTAAAAATGCTAACGTTTTCATTTAGGTTATGTTAGTTTTAATTAGCTTTATACAAAACAACAGCAGTCTAAGGTATGTCCTCAATTTGTTGTGTTTGTGAGTTCATGCTTGTAAGTAAGGCATTTTGCATGTGTGTGTGAGTGTGTGTGTGTATTGGTATGGTACATCAACTCTAGTTTTAGACACTGATTGTTTTGTGTGTGCCCTGCGGGATGGTTAGGATGTGTCCCAGTCCACAAAAATGCAATGCTGACCTTACCATGCACACACACACTGTCCAACATTTGCCCACACAAAAACACACATGCATACACAAAATACACACACACACACACACACAGAATGGAGTTGCTGTGGTCAGCCCACACATGACTCAGCACACACATACACACACATCCCCTTCCACCTCTAATGATATCCTACAGCATACTCACCAACTCAAGTCTCACAAATTGGAATCGGCACACACACACATACACACACGAGAACTCAAAATGCAGAGATCAGCTTATTTTATTTCTCGGGGTCAATTTCTCTCGGTTTCTCTCTCCATCACACTCTTGTTCTCTCTCTTTGTGTCCACATACACTGGCAGACAGTCTGTCAGATTAAAACCAACAGGCATTTTGGAGTAGTCAAGGTTCAGTACGCAAACAGCGCCTTGTCTCCCCAAAAGCCTTGTTTAGACTGACCAAATCTCCGGCTCATCTGGTTATAGACTTTACACAACACAATAAAAATGCATATCATGAGGCCAACACAAACACTGCAGTGCATAAACACATAGACACTATCAAAACTACCTAGCTAAAAAAAATTATATTCCAACATTTTTTTAATTTTCCATCTTGGTTATTGGTATATTCAAATGTCCAGTTGGACTACTATACAGCAACTTCAAATGAGGCTATTGCAATTTTAACTATGCATTTATATAAGTGTTAGCATAACTTATCTGGAAAAGTTCACTCAATATTTGTATTAGCAACCTAGCAAGTCATGCTGTTAAAGATCTAGTCACTGTAACACTGTATGTAACATGAAAACACTGCTTAACCTAAGGTAAGGCATCAATATTACTTTAAACATTATTAATTACAATGACTTTTAGGAGTAATACAACTTCGATCACTCTCAAATAATGTTTTATTAAAAACTTTCAAATAATGAAAATAACTTTTTTTTTAATCAAATATTAATAACATGATTAGAACCCCCATTACCAATATTTGAAAAATTACAAAATATTATTCAATTTCAATTTTTGTAACATTGCATTTTTTTAATGTTAGTATAACATATCTGAAAACATGCACTTAGCAAGCTGTTGAATATGTAGTTCAATAAAGTACAGCTTAATATAAGGTAACACATCAATGTTACTTTGATCATTTGGGGAACAATTATTATTATAACTATAAAAAACGTTAACAAGAACTTTTTTAGTTGTAGTACTCATCCTTCAATGACTTTCAAACAATGTTGCACTAAAACTAGGGCTGCACGATTATGACAAAACTCATAATTGTTGATTATTCCCTTGGAATTGTAATTGCGATTATCACAATTTACATTGAATGATGTGTGTATACATTATGTTTCACATAACTTTGTGGGAACTTGAATCAAACACAAATAACATCATTATGCCTTCCATTAACAATATTTAAAAATAACACAACCTTTATGTAAGGTTAGCCAACATTTTTAGAATGTCCTAGATGGACAAAACATTGCCAACTATTCTATTAGTACACACTATCGATCATACTAACTCCCACAGTGGTACACACACACACACACACACACACACACACACAGAGATACTCATTAATTAACTACAAAAACATTATCAATAAAAAGCCATTATCCACAAAAGCACAAAGCATTACCAATACATAAAGCCATTATGACAAGCCACTGTCAATACAACTGCACACTAAAATAACTACATGACATATTTCCCAGTCACAAGTCACGCAAACTTTAACAAAATAGATGTACCAAGAGCCACACTTAGCAAAATGCAGTTTGGAAACATTAATGAACTTGGGATCCTGTGTTCGGTTCATTCACATACAACAAATACTCTAAAGAAAAACGGCACTGAACAATCATGCTTTGTGTTTTCTTTTCTAATGCAAAGTGTTTGTGTGCGTGTTTATCTGCTGATATCTTGTTATCTGAAAACGGCATTATAATCTATTCTGACAGCTCCGCGTTTAAGAAAAGCCGCAGCGCTCCACTGCATCTGAATGCGTGTGCGTAACGTGACGACCAATCCAATATCCCAAGAAACAGAGAGGAAGTGATGTAGAACAAAGCGCATTTCCATTACAGAGAGAATTCTAAATGACAAGAGTGTGTGTGAGATGTTCTGATATCCATAGACCACGGCATTATCCTTTCACTTCAGTTTCACATTTAAGAAAAGCCGGACTGACGTTCTTCTTCTAAATGCCTGTATGCGTATTAGTGCTGTCACAATACCAACATTTTAGTAGTTGATACCTAAAGCAAGTGAACTTTTATGACAGAGGGGAAAGCTTTTATCCAATTAGAAATGACCTTCAGTCAATCCATACAAAAATTGGTAATTTTATTATAGTAAAAGTGTAGTAACCATGGTTTTTTGGGCGATTTGGTTAACATTTGTATAACTACTACAAATACCGTGGTTAAACTATGGTTAGTGTAGCAAGACCTTGGTTTAACCACAATAACCATGTTTTTTGGTTTTATTGTTGCAAAACCATGGTTAATTTTTTTAAGGGAATTACCATCATACATAGCTAACCATCCCCCAATAGTATATATACTGTATAAAAACACTTTGCATTATTATGTTTAGTTTTTCTTTTATATTATATGTAACATATATGGTAGAAATAAATTGGCCTATAAGGTAGAATAAACTAATGTTTGAAAAGATATGCTAAATTTTATAAGCTCAGAAGCTAACCATACTAGCTTAGCATACTGTTAGCCATTTAGCCTGCTATCCTCCCTGTTGAAAAAAACAGCATATGCTGGTTAGGTATGTTTTGAAGCTGGGATGCTGGTTTGAGCTGGTCCTTTGTTGGTTTATGCTGGTCCTTTACTGGTTTATGCTGGTCCTTAGCTGGTCATGTGCTGGACCTAAACTGGTCCGACCAGCTTAAGACCAGCACATGACCAGCATAAACCAGCAAAGGACCAGCTCAAACCAGTATCCCAGTTTCAAAACATACCTAACCAGCATATGCTGGTTTTTATATACCCTAAGCAAGTTACAACACATAATCATAGCAGTACTGTCAAGTATTACATATATACAAAATTTCTCAGTTTGTTTACAAGTATTAGCTTTGTTTAACATTAGTTTAATAAGAATAGGATCAATAACAAATGTATATAAAGGCTCATTTGCCTAGCTTGAACAAACCTTATAAAAATTATCCATGGTTTTACTATAATAAAAGTGTAGTAACCATGTTTTTTTTTTTTGGCAGATGCATTTGCATAACCACAGTTTTATTACAAATACCATGGTTAAACTATGGTTAGCATAGCAAAACTATGGTTAATTTTTGTAAGGGAAACAATCACAATTAAGCAATATTGCAATATGTTTTTGAACAGGCAACAAAATAGCCACCTATTGGGGTCTAAGAAGACACGACTGGAATGGAATACTTATTACTTACTAAAACTTTGTCTGTTATTTAATGGCCCAGTCAGTCAATGACTTCACAGACAGCGTTTCTGCATGAAGGTACAGAAACTGGTTTCACACAGGCCTCAAAGGCACCATAACGTCCCGTCTAATGATCTAGAACAAATTCGAGTGAGCTTTAGACATAACCAAGAGAATATTTTATGACTACAATGCTTGTATCTCAGTAAAAACGGAATCACAAGTTGGACATTTGTTTGGACCAATTTACTTACTCCCAACCACTTCATTAGACAGCAGTTTTATTCTTCACATAAGGATACGCCAACAAAAACAGACCAGATGAAGGCATTTCTATAGCTTTTACTGTCAGACAGCACTGCAGAAAGACTGTTAAAATTAAATGTATTTTAAATTTAGCATTAACTTTGTTTCTAAGTACTGGTAGTTTTATTTTTCTGCTACTGCTTGTGTGTTTTTTCATCTGTGTGTGACAACAAATCCAATATTCTGAGTGTCGCATATAGGATGTGAGGGAGAACGAATGGCCATTTCCATAACAGAGAGTTCTGATGGACTACGTGTGTGTGTGTGTGTGCTTGTTTTGGTGTCATTAATTGGAACGGGATCTTTATTGCTGCTGGCATTGGTTACTGTAAGCGTCCTGTCAGTCTGAGCCAACGACCTCT